CTCCCTTCTTTTTACTTTTTAACTCCAGACCATTTTTCTGGGAAGGTTTCCTTACTACAGTCCCATCCCCACCCATTCAGGTTGTTCTGGAGCCCATCTTACCATCTCTCTGCTGTTTGCATGTCTCAGATCTGGACAGTGCAGAGAGACACAGAGCATAATGACTGATTCATTTATTTAGTAAACAAATAATTTTTGAGCACCACCTATTTTTCAGGCCCTTTTCTAGGCACTGGGAGACAGCAGTGGATGGAACAACAGTCCCTGCCCTCACAAGTGCTGATATGCTAATGAGTGGAGACAGACAATAAATCAAATAACTAAATAGGTCTATAACATGATAACAAATTATGATAAGCATTGGAAGATAAAGAAAGCATTTAAGAGGACAGAGAATTATGGAGGGTGCTATTTTAGTTGAGATTGTCTCTGAGGAAGTAACATCCTATAAAATAAAAGGCTAATGTGCAAATCAAATGATGCACACTGACCACCAGGGGGTAGACACTCAATGCAGGATGTGCCCCCTGGTGGGAGTGCTGCTCAGCAAGAAGCCAGGCTCAGGTTGGAGAGGCAGTGGCAGGAGCCTCCCCAACCTCCGCTGCAGCACTACGGAACCTTCAGATGATGTCAGCCTGCTGGCTTAGGCCCACTCCCTGTGAGAGGGCGCAGGTTGGGCTGCCAGCACACAAATGTTGTGCACTGGGCCTCTACTTTAATTAGAAATCTGAATAAAGATAGGAATGAAGCCATGTAGGTATAAGGGGGAGCATTCTAGGAGAGGAAATAGCAGGTGCAAAGTTCCTGTGATGGAAACAAGATTGGAATATTTCAGAAACAGAGAAGATGCCAGTGTAGCTGAAGAAAAGTAAGTCAAGGAAAAGAAGAAAAGAGAGGGGAAATGATAAACAACATAGACTGGTGAACAAGAACAGACCCAGAGATAAGGAGCCATGGGTCAGACTGTTGGACCTCAAAGTGAGGGTGGGGATAAAAGGGAGAGATCAACCAAAGGACTTATGTGAATACATATGAGCCTAACCAGTGGTCAAGGACAATAGGGGGGTGGGGGCATAAGTAGAGGTGGGAGTGGGGGATTGGAATGAGGGGTTGAGGACAAATATGTGATACCTTAATCAATAAAGAAAGAAGAAGAAGAAGAAGAAGAAGAAGAAGAAGAAGAAGAAGAAGAAGAAGAAGAAGAAGAAGAAGAAGAAGGAAGGAGATGAGGTCCGAAATGTGATGGGGCCTAGGGAGGGGATCCAGAAAGGTGTTGAAGGCTTTGCATTTTGTTCTAATTGTGAAAGAGATCATTGGAAGTCTTAAGTTAGAGAACAGTGTGATGCCAAACGTTTTATATAGTCTACTCTGACTACTCTGGAGCTGTCCAGGGGAAGACAATAATGGACAGGAGGCTGTGAAGAGAAAAAGTGTGGGTAAGTCCTGGATTTATTTTGTGAATGTAGAGATAACAAGATTTTCTGATGGCTTGGTGTGTGTGTGTGTGTGTGTGTGTGTGTGTGTGTGTGTGTGTGTGTGAAAAAGAAGAAGAGAGTCAAGGATGATTGATTGCACTTGGGACAATATATATATACTAGAGGCCCGGTGCATGAAATCGTGCACTTGGGAGGTGTCCCTCATCCTGGCTTGCGCCCTCTAGCAGTCCAGGAGCCCTTGAGGGATGTCCAACTGACAGATATCTGACTGATGTCAGCTGACAGGTGGACATCCCCAGAGGAGTCTACTTTGTGCTGCCGCAGAGACTCTCACCACCACCACTGTGCTTGCCAGCTGTGAGCCCAGTGTCTGACTAAGCAGCTCTCCCCCTGTGGGAACACACTGACTACCAGGGGTAGCTCCTGCATTGAGTGTCTGCCCTCTGGTGGTCAGTGAGCATCATAGTGACTGGTTGTTCTGCCGTTCAGTTGATTTGCATATTAGCCTTTTATTATATAGGATATGTATGTTTATGTGTGTGTGTGTATAGTATGCAAATTAGCTGGGTTGCCATAACAGTCATGACCGGCTCAGGAGGAGGCTGTGCATGCAGATGAGCCTGGAGCAGAGATACAACACACAGGGGAGCTCACCCTCGGCCACAGCAGCTGCAGCGTGACAGCCGCTGGGGCAAAGCTTAGAGCAGAAACACAACACACAGAAGGGCCCACCCTTGCTGGGAGACAGTGCACCAGCAGTCCCACCTCTGCGTGTGAGCTGCAGAGGAAACACCTTTTCTGACCGCTCATTGGCTAAGCTCCCTGTACGCTGCCACTCACAGTGTTCTTGGTAACTTGGGTAATAAGAATCCAAGAAGGTGATCTAAGGTTTTTCCACCACACTCCTGGAGGAAAAAAATGAAGGTCCACTGCTGGAAGCACTAAAAAATGTCACATCCTGTCCTACCTATTTGGCTCAGTGGATAGAGCCTCGGCCTGCGGACCCCAGGGTACAGGTTCAATTCTGATCAAGGACATGTACCTAGGTTGCAGGCTCCTCCCTAGCCAGAGCCCAGATCAGGAGTCATGCAGGAGACAACCAATCAAAGTGTCCCTCTCATATTGATGTTTCTCTCTGTCTTTCCCTCTCTCTTCCCCACTCTCTAAAAATCAGTGGAAACATATCCTCAGGTGAGGGTAAAAAATAAAGAAAGAAAGAAATGTCATATCCTATGAGACAGCTTGAAAATGCCTAAATAAAGTTGTCATTTGCTCATGGTGAAGGGACTGGAGTCCATGTTGATGAAAACACCTTGGTGGCTGCAGCAACCGGCAGTGGCAGCAGCAGTGGGATGATAGGGGTGGCACTTTCACCTGATCACCTGGTTGCCTCGCGCACTGGGCCTCTAATTTTCTTTTCTTTTTTTTTCTTTTTTTAAAAATATTTTATTGATTTTTTACAGAGAGGAATTGAGAGGGATAGAGAGTTAGAAATGTCGATGAGAGTGTAGAAACATCGACCAGCTGCCTCTTGTCATCAGTAGGACATCCCCTGAGGGGACTGTGAAAGGGGGCAAGCTGTGCTGAGAGACCCCCCTCCCCCAGTGCACGAATTTCATGCCTCTAGTCCTATATAATAAAGACACAATATGCAAATTGACCGTCATGCCCTCACACAAGATGGCCACCCCATGTGGTCACAAGATGGCCACCACAAGATGGCTGGCAGGGGAGGGCAGTTGTGGGCGATCAGGTCAGCAGGGGAGGGCAGTTAGGGGCAACTAGGCCAGCAGTGGAGGGCAGTTAGAGGCTACCAGGTCGGCAGGGGAGTACAGTTGGGGGCAATTGGGCTGGCAAGGGAGCAGTTAGGCATTGATCTGTCTGGCAGGGGAGTGGTTAGGAGGTGATCAGGCTGGCAGGCAAAAGTGGTTAGGAGCAATAAGGCAGGCAGGCAGGCAGGTGAGCGGTTGGGAGCCAATAGTCCTGGATTCTGCCAAAACCGGTTTGGCTCAGTGGATAGAGCATCAGCCTGTGGACTCAAGGGTCCAAGGTTCAATTCCGGTCAAGGGCATGTACCTTGGTTGCGGGCACATCCCCAGAGGGGTGTGCAAGAGGTAGGTGATCAGTGATTTTCTCTCATTGATGTTTCTAACTCTCTATCCCTCTCTCTTCCTCTCTGTGAAAAATCAATAAAATATAATTTTAAAAAATAGTCCTGGATTGTGAGAGGGATGTCCAACTTCCAGGTTAGGCCCAATCCCAGGAATCGGGCCTAGCTCAGAGTCGGACATCCCTAGAGGGGTCCTAGGTTGGAGAGGGTGCAGGCTGGGCTGAGGGACCTCCCCTCCCCCAGTGCACAAATTTCATGTACTGGGCCTCTAATTTTCTTTTCTTTTTTTTCTTTTTTTAAAAATATTTTATTGATTTTTTACAGAGAGGAATTGAGAGGGATAGAGAGTTAGAAATGTCGATGAGAGTGTAGAAACATCGACCAGCTGCCTCTTGCTCACCCCTTTCTGGGGATGTGCCCACAACCAAGGTACATGCCCTTGACTGGAATCGAACCCGGGACCTTTCAGTCGGCAGGCTGACACTCTATCCACTGAGCCAAACTGGTTTTGGCTCTAATTTTTTTTTTATAATGGCCTACAAGGCTCTACAAGCTCTCTCCCTAAGCTTGTCTCCCCCCCACTCACACCACTCCAGTTACACTAACTTTCTTACTGATTATTGCACATGCCAAGCGTGTTCCCCTTCCCTGTACATTGTATGGCTGGCAATTTCTCAGGTCTCAGCTTAAATGTCACTTCCACAGAGAAGTCACCCCTTTCTTTATAGCACTTACCACTCTCTAAAATGATCTCATCCTTTGTTTTGTTTATCAGCTGTCTTTCTTTACTAGAAGGTCAGTTCCTTGAGGGCAGCGACTTGTTTGGTCCCTGCTGTATCCCCAGTGGTTAGGAGAGTGTTTGCACATAGCAAATACTTAATAAAGGAACAAAGGCATTGATTAACCCCCTGCCCCTTCACCGATTGGCTTACACAGAAGAGACATCCAGACAAGCAGGCATAGACAAGAATCCAGGACAGAACCTGAGGTTGTCCACATACCCAGAAGCCAGGAACACCTGCTGTCCTCCCCTCCCCGGCACTCCCAACCCCGCCCCCCCCTCGCGCTCCAGTGCCTGGAGGATAGAGTCCTAGCTGGGAATGGAGCACCCCTGGGAGGAGGGAAGGATGCTCAGGGGCAAGCTCCGCCCTGCCCTGTATCCCCAGCGGCCAATGGCCGTCCGATCCTCCCGACGCCCCCTGGGACGTGTAGTCCGGTTAGGAGTGCTTTGGGCCCCGCTGCGCGCCCCTAGACTCCACGTCCCGTCTTGCGCCCTGAGGCTCGGGGATTGGTCCAGCCCCGCCCCCAGCCCGCCCCGCTCCGCTGGCGCCGCAGCCCCAAGAATGAATGAAATCGTAGCGCGCTGGGCGGCTGAGCGGGCGGCTCAGGCCGGGCTGGGCCCGCGCGCGGCGGCAGCGGCGCCCCGGGCCGGAGGCGGCCCTGCCGAGCGGGCCATGGCCACCGCCGTTCAGAACCCGCTCAAGTCGTGAGTGTCCCTGCCGTCCATGTCCCTCCGTAACCCCGCCCTTCCCCGCCCTAGCTGGGGAGGAGGATTCAGTGCGCGGAGGGTAGTTGAATATCCCCCTCCCTCAGCGCAGTCTCCATGCTCCCTGGGGGGTCCACTCCCCTGTGTCCCGTGGGATTGGGGTTGGGAGCTCCTTCAGGGTCGCGGGGAGCCCCTTCTTTGTGGCTGTCAGTGAAGGAATGTGGCGCGGGGCTGGGGGGTGGCGGAGGCCGGCTCCTCAACCCAGAGTGGGGGTAGGGGCTTCCTTCTCCTCCATCTCTTCTCCTCCTGGTCTCTGGGAGCCCGGGCCTGCCCGGACACGGCGCTGGGAGTCCGGACGCCTAAGTCCAGACCTCAGTCTCCAGGGTCTCCCTTTCCCCTCTCATCAAAGCATCTCTCTCTCTTTCCCTCTTTCTCGGCCCACGCGACCGGGGGTGGGAGCTGAGATTTCGGGGATTCCCGGTGAGATCCTGTTGTCTCCCTTTTCACTCCTCGGGTCTCCAGGACCTAGAAGCCTCGATGCCTGGTCAGCTTGACCGTGGGATTCCTGTCTTGCCCATTCGTACACATCTAACTCGAGCATCTCCCATCCTCTTGGGGACAGGATGCCTCCGGAGAGGGCTCTGGGAGTGCCCTCAGTCTCCGAGAATTCCCTCCCTTTCTCCCTGTCCAAGTCCCTCTCCTTCCCTTAGCTTCTTTCCTAGTGTCTGGGACCCAGGATGTCTGGGTTCGAGCCTAGTACCCTCCCATCTCCCCTCTCCTCGATCTCTCCACCTCTGTCCCTCGTCGGGACTCTGAACTCCAAGGTCTCAGGGCTCCCCACCCCCTTTCCAGGCGGGGACTGCGTGCTCTGAGTGCCGGCTGGCCAGCGCGCTCCCTTCCCCCTCCTTTCGGGCCAGGGCAGAGGACTGAGGGCGAGCGCCGCGGCGCCGCTCTTAGGGGCCCGGGCTACCTTTCCCAACCTTCCCCCAACCTTTGCGCCCCCTGCCACGGCCTTGAGCTGTGCTGGGGGTGAGAAGAGGGGAGGGGCCTAGGAGCGCACCCCATCCTTAGGGCTATGCCGGAGATGTAGATCTAAAGTCCTGGGTTGCTTCTAGTTTCTGGCGAGAGAAGTTGGGAGAGATGATGGGCGAGGCTCACAGGCTCGCACCTACACGTGTGGCTTAGAGGTGTGCAAAAGCAGGCTTAGAGGGAGGGTGTGGGGCTTGGGTCAGTACGAGGTGTTGTGTGATGGGACTTCTTTCAGCTTCCTTCTCTAAGTCTCACACACAGGGAGACGCCTCCCCTATGAGGGTTACCTTCCACCGGCTGGGACCGGATTCCTGATTTTGGTGGATCTATAGGCAGACATCCAGGCCTCCTCACTCTGATCTGCCCAGACCTCTAGGATATGTAGGGCAACCCATTGCAGGGACGTGGAGGCCAGAGTCAGCATTTGGTGGGAGTGCCAGCTTTTTCACCCTCTGTTGCTTTCACCTGCTAAGGGTTGTGCAGGGGCGAAGGGAGGGCCTCCTGAAAGAATGTAAAGTCAAATCTCCTTGGGAGTGAGTGCCTGCGGTCAAACCCAGCTTGAGCCATTAGTTCTCCCCTTCCCAGCCTCAGTATTACCTTCTGTGAACTGGGGAATCAGCCATTCTTATTACCTCAGGGGGCTGTTTGATCTTTGTAGAGCACTTAGTACAGAGCCTGACCCTGACTAAATGTAGTGACTAGTAGTAAAGTGTCAATATTGATTTCATTTGTGGCCCAGTTTCCCAAAGAGCAGTGGGGGGAGGAGGGTGGATGGGGTGAGGGGATTGTTTGGGAGGGGAAAGAACTGGGAGAGGGGTCTGTGAAGGTGACAGGAGTAAGAAAAGGGTGGAAGACCCCTCTCTTTGTTTCCACCTGAGTCTGTAGGTCAAATTGTTCTGGTGGGCAGACTAGGGCCTCCTGGAGGAGGTGGAATGTCTGCACTAAGGCTAAATGGATACAATTGATTTGAGGGTCTGGAATGGGGAAGGAGAAAACCTGGGTTTTTGAGGCTGAGGTGTGGCGAGTGTTAGAGGGTGTGTTGGGGAGCTGTGAGGGTGGTGGCAGGTGAGAGAGGAAGGTGGCAAGGGCATCCTCTGAGCTGAGCTGACAAGTCAGGGGGCTTACTGTGGGCCTATGGACTGGCCACTATAAGGCCCTGGAGGCCAGAGTGAGAGTGGGGCTGCCAGCATATCTTATCATTCACCCTTGTTACACCTCTGGGCCAGATGTGAAGCAAAGACCCCCTCCCTCAAGGCCTTACCTGGAGCAGATGGAGAGAGTTTGTGGAAGGGCTTTAAGACTAGATGTGTGTGTGTATGTGTGTGTGTGTGTGTGTGTGTGTAGAAGTGACATGGGATGGGAGGCCTGAGAAGGTTTCTCTCATCAGGGGGACATGAGGGTATGAAGTAACAAAAGAGGTGAAGGCTAGTATGCCTCCTCTCTCTGCTGGAGAGCCCCCTAGTGGGTGTTTTCATCCATGCAGAAGCTCAAACCTGAAGACACAGTTTGGACTACGAGGGCTATGGGTGTGTGCATAGAGAGACTGTGTGTGACTAGCTGAGTCAGCTCGCTCTCTGGGGATCCCTTAGTATAGAGTCGTTGTGAGAGACAGTGGGAAAGAGAAGGCAGTAAGGCCCATTTGGGGATACGAACATCTGAATGAGTGAATCCTTCCCTCAGTTACAACTTCAAACAGTCTCCAGTGGCTGGGGGCATGTAACTCCACCTCCCTGTGCCTTGGAGTCTTCATCTGGAAAATGGGGGTAATAATAGCATCATCCAGGAAGGTTATTATGAAGACTAAATTGTTAAGCCCTGTAAAGCACTAAGAACTGTTTCCAGCACATGGTGGGTGTTCAGTATATTTGTCTATTCATTAAAAAATACTTATTGAGCATTTACTATGTGCCAGGCATTATTCTTTCTAATATGGTAATTATATTGCCATTTTACATCTTAGCACATATCAGATTCTTTTTTTGTGGGATGAATTTATTGAGCACCTACTACCTGCCAGGTACCTTTTAAAACACTTCACTTAGAGTTACTCATTTAATCCTTACAACAATACAGTGAGGCACTACCCTGATGAGGAAACTGAGGCCCAGAAAGATGAAAGCATTTGCCCAAGGTCACATGGCCACCAAGTGGCAGAGCCAGGATTTGAACCTAAGCGGTGTGGCTACAGTCCCTAACTAGCACGGCCACTGTTTGGCCTTCCAAGGGGCTGAACGGGTTGGGTGGGGTCACTGTGAGAGTGACAGCCTCCAGTGGGACCGAGTGGGACCGAGTGGGACAGACCAGGTAGGGTTCTCTGGAGCCAGGAGGGACTAGGGAGTGGGAGAGAGGGAGGGGCGGTATCCGTGAGCCTACGTCTCTGCGTGAGTGCGGGGATGTTGGTGGGTCATTTGTGTGGGCACCTGGCACCGAAATGTGTGTAGAGTAAATGCATGTGAGTATATGCGGGGTGTGGGAATAGAGTGTGCGTAAGTCTACGTGGGAAGCAGTGAGTATACATGTGAACTTTTATGTAAATGGCGTGTGTGAGTCCAGGTGTGCGTGTGAGTGTACGCCCATGAGACCAGATGTGTGTTTGAGTGAGCATGTGTGAGTGACTGCGCTGCCTGGGCCCCACTTCTGCACCCCCTTTCCCCGCGGGATCCCGCCAGCCCCCAGGCCGGGACTACGACTCCCAGCATGGCAGGGCGGGCCCGCCCCGCCGCCCTGATTGGCTGCAGCCCCGTACTCCCGCCCCCCCCGGGAATGAATGGATGGGCGGCCTCCGCGCCTGCCCGCCCGAGCGCTGGGAGGACCGACCCGCGGGGACCTGCTGGGGGCAGGACCCGGGGAGCAAGATGGCCACGGTCATCCCTGGCCCCCTGAGGTGCTGCGGGCCGGCGGGAGGCGGGGGGAGGGCGCGGGCGGGTCTGCAGGGCGTGTGTGTGTGTGTGTGTGTGTGTGTGTGTGTGTGTGTGTATGTGCGCGCGCGAGTGTGTGTGTCTCGACTGGGGGTGGGGCCGATGGGGTGCCTGGGGGCTGTCACCGTGGCCCGGCTGCGTCGGGGTGCGAGTGTGTGACTGGGTTTCTGGGGTCGACACAATGCTCCTGAAAAAGCGGAGGGTGTGGAGCCCTCTTCGGGGCAGGGTCATGTCACCCCTGCGACCCCCGAGTAGAGGGGGATAAAATGGCTGTGGGGTGCGGGGACCTTGGTAAACTTGAGGGAAGCCCACACAACCTTTGTCTTGGGATGTGGAGTGTGTGTCACGTGTTTGTGTTCTCTTTTTTCGGGGGATATGTGTGTTTCATTGGGGATGTTTCATTGGGTCTGAGTGTGTGTACATTTCCTTTGAAACTGTGCATCATTTGTGCTCTGAGTTTTTGGATATGTAGGTGTGTATGTGTAAATTTTTGTGTGGATATGGGCAGATATATCTATGTTGTGTGTGTGTGTCTTTGTGTTGAATAAGTTATTTTGTTTTTGCTTTGTTAATCCTCACCTGAAGATATTTTTTTTTCCATTGCTTTTCACAGAGAGGGAGGGAAGTAGAGAGAGGGAGAGGGAGAGAGAGAGAGAGAGAGAGAAACATTGATGTGAGAGAAACACATCTACTGTCCCACATGTACATGTGCGGGGACCTGGGTGGGGAGCAACAGAGGGGAGCGACTGGGGGCCCGGAGCAAGTAAACCTGCAGCCCAGGTACTTGCCTTGTCTTTGCCCTAAAATCAAACCCCAGGGGGCCCTTCAGTGTGTGTGTGTGTGTGTGTGTGTGTGTGTGTGTGTGTGTGAGAGAGAGAGAGAGAGAGAGAGAGAGAGAGAAAGAGAGAGAGAGAAAGAGAGAGAGAGAGATTTGTGTTGTGTCTCTGGTCATGTGTGTAAGTGCATATGGGTAGTTTTCTTTAACATTCCTTCTTTTAACATTTGTGTGTATGTTTGGATACTTGAGTTTGTGTGTATGTGTGCTATGGTGTGTCTGATCTGTCTGGTTACATGTTGTATTTCTTTGTGTGGGTGATTTATGTTGTGTGTCTTTGGATATGTGATGCATTCTTGTCATGGATACTAGTATATGTGTGATCTGTCTGCTTCTACACTGTGACTTGGGATATTTGTGTTGCAGTAGATATGTGTATGTGCACACATGTGAGATTTGTGTTGCTCCTTTGTGTCTTAGGATATCTCTCTTTGTGTGTGAATTGGTATGACTATGTTCGATTTTTTTATGTTGTGTGTTTAGAATATGTGCACATATGAATGGGGCCTGGTGTATTTTTGTTTGTTTCTATATTGTGTATATCTACTTGGCTAGAGGCCTGCGGGGTGGTGGTGGGGGAACAGGGCGCTAAGTCCAGGAGCCACAGGAGGGGAGAGGTGAGGTTGGAGGATTCTGCCCCCCACCCCCATTCTTGATGGGAGGGCTGGGGGAGGGATGCTGGCAACCTGGTCTCCTGCCCTTGCTGACAGCTGCCTGCTGGCCTGCTTACTGCCCCTCACAGTCTAGGCGAGGACTTCTACCGCGAGGCCATTGAGCACTGCCGCAGCTACAACGCGCGCCTGTGTGCCGAGCGCAGCCTGCGCCTGCCCTTCCTGGACTCTCAGACGGGAGTGGCCCAGAACAACTGCTACATCTGGATGGAGAAGACCCACCGTGGGCCAGGTACCTTTGGGAGGGTTGGGCAAGGGTGGCCACAATGAAACCCGAGGTCTTACCTCCCATTTCACTCCAGGTTTGGCTCCAGGACAGATCTACACGTACCCCGCTCGCTGTTGGAGAAAGAAACGGAGACTCAACATCCTGGAGGACCCCAGACTCCGGCCCTGCGAGTACAAGATTGGTGGGTGCAGCTGTCTGTGCCTGAGGTGTCCTCCATGGGCTCCCCTGCACCGCTTAGTGTGTGGCATGCCAGTGGGTGTCTGAGCCTTCACCTTTTCTCCCTTCTAGCCAGTGTCAGCATGGCTGGCTGTGTGTCTCTGTGTGTGCCTGGGTGTAGTCCACAGATTCTCCAGTTTCCCATGTGGGCCCAGGTTTAATTGAGAGCAGAGTGGTATCTGTTATGTGTGTCTAGGTGTATCCAGCCTTTGTATATCTTCCCTTGTGAGCTGGGATGTATCAGAATGTCTGGCTCTGTTTCTTCTTGTGGGTGCCTGAATATGTCTGGGTGCATCAGAGTGTCTGATTGTAACTCTTGCCTTTGTAGTGGAGTGTATCTAAGTGTCTTGAGTCTCTTTCCAGGTGTTTCCAAGTGTATTAGGTTGATTTTCATGTGTGTGTGTGTGTGTGTGATATCAGGACCTGACTGCCTTTTCCATTGAGTGCCCAGATGCTTGGAACGTCTCTCTTCCCTTAGTACCTGGTGTATTAGGTAGGTCCATGTGTGTTGGTCCACTGGAGTGTCTGGCCTTATCACCTAAATATGTCCAGTACTATCAGGGTCACTGGCTGTTTCTTTCCCCTGTCCAGGTGTATCAAGGATCTGTTTGGGTCCAGGTATATTAGGCCCAGGTGTCTACCTGGCTGTATCTTCCTGGGTGCATCTGACTGCCTCAGAGGGACTGCCTGTATTGTCTATGTGTGTCCATCGAGTGATTCTCCCTAGCTGTGTCTGTATCCCCATGTGTGGCCAGGTGTGTAATAGGGTCTGCCTGTGTCTTCCCCATGTGGGTCTGGCTATGTCTGATGGTCTAACAATCTCTTTGAGTGTCTCTGGGTGTATCCAAGGGTCTGCTGTGTCTCCTCCTGAGTGTGCCTTAGAGATTCTGAGGGTCTGGCTGTGTCTTCTCCAGGGTCTCAGCGTCCTTCTCAGTAGGTGTAGTTGAGTCTTCAAATTTGATGCTGCTTGAGAGTGGGAAAGCCTCATCTCTCCCTTCGTGCGCATGGTTCCCCCACCTGGGCAGTTTGAGGAATCCTCCAGGGACAACTTCCCACTTGACCCCCCCTCCCCATGGCCTTGTCCCCAGACTGTGAGGCACCTCTGAAGAAGGAGGGCGGCCTTCCTGAAGGGCCAGTCCTTGAGGCTCTCCTGTGTGCTGAGACAGGGGAGAAGAAGATTGAGCTGAAGGAGGAAGAGGCCATTATGGACTGCCAGGTAGGACCAACCTCAGGGTCCCAAGCTCTCCTGCCCTGGCATATCCCGTTCTTGCTCCAAAACCACCCTGGCTCCCTTGGGCCTCTGGCATCTTAAGTCATTATCTTCCAACATCATTCTCTTTGGAATGTCTCCTGACTTGCCTTGTCACCCCAATCTCCAGCTCTGCACAGAACCCCCCCAAAACAAAACAGTGCTCCCCATTTTCTTGACTCCAATCCCCCTTCTTCTGGTGCTCAGAAACAGCAGTTGCTGGAGTTTCCGCATGATCTTGAGGTGGAAGACTTGGAGGATGATATTCCCAGGAGGAAAAACAGGGCCAAAGGAAAGGTACCTCCCCATCACCCATTCCCTTCACAGCAGAGCCCATGTACTAAGCAGACACAGTGATCAGGCCTGTCCCAATTTGGCCTGATTTAATCCTCAGAACAGCAGGGCGGTTGGCGTGGAGAGAAGATCTTATACTCATTTCACAGATGAGGAGGCTGAGGCTTGGCTATATTAAACCATCTGCAAACCAGAGATTGGAAGGTAGACTAGGACTGTCTTCGTACCTGTGCTATAGATAGATAGGAAACAACCCGGAGAAGTTGAGTTAGCCCACTGTAAGGAAGTGGCAGAGCTGCAGTTCAACTTTCAGGTCCGAAAGATGACAACTCTCTCAGTTGCCTCCCTTGCCTCCCTTTCTGGCCCCTCACTTCTCTCTCCCCCCAGGCATATGGCATCGGGGGTCTCCGGAAACGTCAGGACACCGCTTCTCTGGAGGACCGAGACAAGCCGTATGTCTGTGATAGTGAGTCCTTCTGAAGAGAGGGAGAGCAAGTGGGCCCGGTGACCTGCCCCCTCCTGGTCACCTCCTCCTGTTCAGGACCCTGGGGGGAGGATGCTCAGGCCTCTGGCAGAGGGGGAGGTGTGATCCCAGAGGCCAGAATGGAGGTGGCAGGGGCTGGGAGGGCTGACCGGCCCTCCATGCTCACTCTGCTCTCCAGTCTGTGGGAAACGGTATAAGAACCGGCCAGGGCTCAGCTACCACTACACCCACACCCACCTGGCTGAGGAGGAGGGGGAGGAGAACACCGAGCGCCACGCCCTGCCCTTCCACCGGAAAAACAACCATAAACGTGAGCAGGCAGGCGGGCTTTGGGCTGGTGATGGGCCTTGGGAATGGGGGCTAGGAGCCTGGGAGGGAGGGGGCACATTAGACATTTCTGGAAAACCTCCAGCTCAGCCATCCCCTCCCCCCACGGATCATGGGGAAGCTGGCTCTGGGGTTGCCATGGCAACCAACCATCTCTCCCTCTCTCCCGGCTGTAATATTTCTGGGTCTGATTTATTGTTTCAATTAGAGCTTGGGGAGGGGGGTGATAGATGACTCCCCTCCATCCCTGCCTCCCTCTCTCCCTTCTCTGCTAAGCTTGGTGGAGGGGCAGGGTCTGTGGCCTAGGAGTCCCTGGACCACCCATGCCAATTCCATGTCAGCCCGGCCAGCTAAAGGATGGGGAGGCCGGAGGGAAGTTCTGTCAGTGGAGAGCCATCTCCCACCCATCCCTGGTGGGAGAGGACAGCCTCTTTTTCTGTGCCCACTGCACGCCCAGGCATCTCTGTGTCCACAATTTTCCTTCTGAATGTTTCATACCAGATCTTGGCCAGTAGTATTTCCCCCAATTTTTATATAGTTAGGGGTGGTTGTCTGATAAAAGTGATTGCATGGGGGAGCAGTGGACTCTACCTGAAGCTGTATTTGTCAGTTTTTACTTAATAAAAAGGACATGTCACTTGACCACAAAGAAGTGTGTGGGGGGGAGTGATCCTGATGAGAATTATTTGGGTCCCCAAAGTGTCTTTTGCTATTGGCCACAGCTTGGGGTAGTACTCTCTCTTCCCACCTCCCCTAAGCCTGCACCTAGGATCCCTCCCTGGAGCTGAGGCTGGGGACAGGGTGGAGCCTTGCCTATGGTGAGAGTCCCTCTCTTTGTCCCCTCCCACTCCCAGAGTTTTACAAAGAATTGGCCTGGGTCCCTGAGGCACAGAGGAAACACACAGGTAGGGACGCCTCCCCCTACCCCTACTTCTGCAGCAGCCTTTGACTGGGGGCCCCTGCCTGCCCACAACAACCCCCCCTGCTGTCTTTCAGCCAAGAAGGGGCCTGACGGCACTGTCATCCCCAACGGCTATTGTGACTTCTGTCTGGGTGGCTCCAAGAAGACAGGGTGCCCTGAGGACCTCATCTCCTGTGCCGACTGTGGGCGATCAGGTGACACCCCCACTGAGGTTTTTGGGAACCAGGGTGGATAGAGGACTCCAGGAGTCCAGGTCTGGAGGATGGGGGCAGAGGAGTGAGGACTGGGGCGGGGTGTGTGTGTGTGGGGGGTTACGGTAGAGGAGGGGAGAGGGCCCAGAGTGTCCCATGGCACTGAGAACGAGAATCCATGGGGTTGACTCAGTTGCTGAGGATTGTGGGAAACTGAGTGGGATCAGGGAGGCTCTGGGAATAATGGAATGTGGTTGTCTTGGTATTGCCAATAGCGATGTGCTTAACCTGGTAGGGAGTAGTGAGAGCTGGTTGCCAAGGCATTGTGGGTAGTGGGCTGTGATAAGTGAGTAATGATTGCTACTGCCTGGGTACTATGGATAACAGAGGGTGCCATGGAATTGTGGTTAATAGATGTGGTTTCTCATGGTGGACTTGTGGGTGACAGACAGTGGTTGCCTCAGCCCAGTGGTTAATGAATTGTGGTTGTCATGGTATTGTGGGTAGTGTAATATGGTTGTCATGGCAATTGGGTGTGGTAGAATGTAGTTGTGCCATTTGCGGACTAGCGGATTGGCATTGCACAGTGTTGCTATTAACAGTTTGATTGCTGGGGCATCCTATATAATAGGCTTGGGTTGCAAGGAGCTCTGGAGTGCCCCCGACTGTGAATGGTGGTTGCCATGGCATTGTGGTTGGGAGAATGTGGTTGCTACGTTATGTGGTTTCCTCCGCACAGTAGTTAACAGAGTGTAGCTGCCCAGTGTTGTGGGTGGTAGGAAGTGGTTGCCACAGCACTGTGGGTAATGGAATGCGGTTGCCATGGTGGCTGGGTAGGAGACTGGTGGTCACAGTAGTGCCGCTTGCAGTAGGTTGCTGTGCACCTTGGGCAGGGTGGGGTTAAGCTATGGACCACAGAAACTCATCATTATGAGCCAGGGGTAAGGGCCGAGTCATTTCTTCCCCCGTGTCTGTAGTCCCAGGGACATGATGACCCCTAACCACATCCCTGCCCCTCGGCCCCCAGGACACCCCTCGTGTTTACAGTTCACGGTGAACATGACAGCAGCCGTTCGGACCTACCGCTGGCAGTGCATTGAGTGCAAGTCCTGCAGTCTGTGTGGCACCTCGGAGAACGATGTGAGTGCCCTGCCCCCACCTCCCCAGGACATAGCCCCGTTGGCCTCCCCACCTGGCACCTCTGCCTTTGCCGGTTGGGCCTAAAGCCTTTTCCTGGTGACCGCTAGTAGCCTGTATTATCATTTTGTTAGTGGCCACTCATTGAGCTCAGTATGTAATGCTTTTCATCTTTCTGAATCGTCCTTCTGAGGCGGGCGCTTGTTCCCACTTCACAGTGAGGGGAAAAAACTTGCCCAAGGTCAGGCAGCTAGGGAAATGGATTAGCTGGGGCCTGAACCCATCCACTGTTTTTGGAGCTGGTATCGGCCATCTCAGTGGAAGCCCGCACTACAGATGGCCAGTGTACAGTGCTCAGGGGTGTTTTACTCAGCTAAACGGGGTTTTGCAAAGATTCCATGGCCCAGACCTCTGGGAGCCCTCCCTCCCCCCACCTTCCCCACTTCCTTCCAATATTTTTATTGATTTCAGAGAAGGGAGAGGGAGAGAGAGATAGAAACATCAATGATGAGAGAAAATCATTGATTGGCTGCCTTCTACATGCCCCCCACTGAGGATTGAGCCTGTAACCCAGACATGTGCCCTTGACTGGAATCGAACCCGGGACCTTTCAGTCCGCAGGCCCACGCTCTATCTACTGAGCCAAACCAGCTAGGGCAGGAGCCCTTTCTTTCGGAGGGGTCCACCTCCCCCAGTTCCTTTGACTAGCCCCTGCCCCAGCCACCCACCCCGATCTCTAGTGCCTGTGCTCCCAGGGTGCCAACTGGGTGGGTCTCACCCCCCAGGACCAGCTGCTGTTTTGTGATGACTGTGATCGGGGTTACCACATGTACTGCCTGAGCCCTCCCATGGCGGAGCCCCCGGAAGGTGAGAGCGGAGGTGGGCATGACACTGGGGTGGGTGGGCTAGAAAGTTGTCTTCTTGTTGGTGAGGACCCTGCCTTCTGGATAGGAGGGGCTGAGCAGCCCTCTCTGGACCTGGGCCTAACTCCCTTTCCTCTGGCCATTCCACAGGGAGCTGGAGTTGTCACCTGTGTCTTCGGCACCTGAAAGAGAAGGCCTCTGCCTACATCACTCTCACCTAGGCCTGGCTCTGGCTCACCTGGACCTCTGGGGTGGTGCTTGCCCATCTGCCTCTCAGAGCTCTTCTACTCTCTCCTCATCCTTAATGTACCACAGTGGGATGGGGTGCTGGGAGCCTGAGAGGGGGCTGGGCTGCCCCCTTCCCTCTGTGCAAGTGGAATGTTTGCCCTGGGGGTGGTGGGCCCAGCAGGGCTCCTCTCTCTCCCTCCCTTCCCCATCCCTTGGCAAATGGGCACCAGGGGCGTCTGCTCCCCTCAAAGCCATACCCCGCCTCTGGGCGGGCATGAGGGGTGGTGGATGTCAGCCCAGGGCCTGGACCCAGCCTTTTTCTAAAGAAAAAAATCAAAAAGTTAAAAAAAAAAAAGAAAAGAAAAAAGAAATTAATATATACAGAATCCTAAAAGGCCTGGCTGGGTGAGGGGGCACTGCTGAGTGAGTCCACAGGGCACCAGTCTATATCAGTTTCCTGCCTGGCAACCCCTCCCCCAGTTTTGGAGCTGCAACAACCCCACCTCCCCTCCCCAGGTGGGCACCATTCCCCACTCTTGCCCAGGGCAGATGGGTGTGATGCCCACCCCTTATCCCCTCTTGGTGCCCACTGTGGATACTGCATGATGTTGAACTGTGGCTTTGAAATCTGTTCCTGCCCCTTCCTGAGAGCCCCACCCTGTCTGCCACCACCACAAGTGTTACTGGTGGGGCAGGCGGGTCCCTGCCCAGCGCCTGCTGGGATGAGAAGCACAGACTCTGCAATGGACTAGTTTTTCTTCCTCCCCTGCCCTGATCCCCACCAGCCTGGCCCGGCTACCCCTGCCCCCTTACTGGCCATATTGAGGGTAGCAAGGGGGAGTGATTATTTCTTGTGGTTGTGTATGTTTATTGTTCGGGTTAAAAAAAAGGGAAATTGAGATTGCAAGTGGATGAGGTTGTGGATTTTGGGGGCTTCCCCCAATCCAGGCATGCCCCCCCCCCCCCCCCCCCCCCCCCCGTAAATGAGTCTCCTTTATTGCCTGCCTCTGCTGTGAATTAACTTGTTCTGTGTATTAAACTGGGCCTGACCCCTCTGCCATGACTACCTCCTTCTCCAGGCTGGTTTGGGGCGTCACCAAGAAGGGGAGCTGGGGCCTCATCTGGGAGAGAAAAAACAGAGGCTAACAGCTGGAGCTGGCTCCTACCTCCATCTCCCTTCTGTACCCCGCCTTTCTCTGGCTTTGTCCCACCTCTTCACTGCCTTGGCAGAAGGAAGAGGGGGGATGGGGTGGAGGGGGCTCCCGCCCAGCCAGCTGTGGTTGTCCTGGCAACAGACTACTGCAGCTGCAGCAGAAAGCTGAGAGGAGGAAGGCGGGAATTGGGGGCTGGGGGAAGGGAAGGGATGAACAGATGAAGCTGGTCAGCCCCTCCTGGGCTGGGGTAGAGGGCAGGTTGCCAGGGGCACCTCATCATAGTACCAGACATCACTTGGGACTTCCTGTATGGGGCCAAGAGCGGAGGGGAAGGAGCAGGGGACAGAAAGATAGGGATACAGGAACATTAGGAGAGAGGCTGAGATTTGGGTGAGGTGGGGTGAGGAGAGGGAACCAGGAAACTGATTAGGAGAGAGACATAGATATGAGAATCACAAATTTATAGAGAATCAGAAAAAAAGACAGCAGGAGAAGAGGGAAGCAAAAATATATATACAGATGAGGAGAGCCACAGGAATTACAGGGGAAGAGAAGAGATGGAGATTTAGAAAATAAAAAGTAGACATGTTGGGAGAGATAGGAGGGCAGGCAGAGAACCAGCACACATGAAATAGAGAAAAAGAATAAGAGAAGCATGTTGGGGAGAGAGATACAGAGTTAGGACCCAGGGACAGATAAAGTCTCAGGATAAGGACACAGGGATATGAGTGAGATTTCATGGGAGGGAAGGACATAAAGAATTTAATGGGACAACAGAAAAATTGTGTAAGAGCCAAAGGTATGAAGGGATTCAAAGAGAGTGAGGAGAAAGCCGGAGGTGGGGTGGGAGAGACTAGGGGAGGCTCCAAATGGTGCCTATAGGAGAAACGGGATGAGACAGAAATTGAAATCGGGTAAATGGGGAAGGGACAAGCAGCACATAGTTCAGGCGAGAGCGAGGACTGGCAAGTGCGTGTGTGAGTTGTGGGGTGTTGGAAGTTGGTGTGTCACAGGCGCCAGGAGAAGATGTGAGAACAGCTTGTTCCAGTGTTCCCTGGTGGGGGGAGGGAGCTCGGTTGAGGATGGGGCCTCAAGGAGGGCCGGGAAGGGAGTGTCTGGAACACTGTAGGATTTTTAGATGTGAAAATAGCTGGTCCACCTCCTCTGGAAAAAGGATATGTACCCGTTTAGGAAAAAGTTTTTGTGTGTGGTGAGGGAAGGATCTGGGTCAGACAGGGAAATGGTGAGGTGGGCCAGAAAGACCCAGCCACCGGGCCAGCTCTACAAAGAGGGCTGGGCTGCTCTCAGATCCAGATCAAGGCCAGACTTTGGGATGTTCACATGGAATTTTGAGATTTGGACTGTGGTCTCTGGGTCAAACTGTGAGTTCAGCTGCAGATCTAGGGCCCAAAGTTCAAGGCCCCTCCCCAGATGGGAGTCCCTAGAGAAAGGCCTTGGCCAGGGGAGGTCACAGGGGATGCGTCAGTCTTTCTTGGACACCTCCAACTCACTGTGCCTGACACCAGCCTCCCCTCGATGGGTGGACAGGGTGCCAATAAGCCTGAGCTGGGGGGAGGGGCCTGGGGGGCCGCCTAGCCGAAGGAGGCGTGGGTGGGCCCTCAGTTCTGAGTGTTACTGTAAAGGACAGATTTACCAAGCTGGAATCTGGCTTTCCTTTTGTTCAATCTCGATTTTTAAAAGTTGCTCACTAATTCTAAAACTAACACAACTTTGTGGGCTGGGCATTTACTAGTGGTAGTGACTTTTGAGGTAGAATCTCCTTTTTAACATAAGAAGGACTTTTATGTTCTGAGAGATGGATTTCTGTCATTTGGGCTTCCGGGGGGGGGGGGGGGAGGGGGGGATGTATGCCAAGTTGGTGTCCCCTGGTATGTAGGGAAGTGTGTGCGCGTGCACAGTGACTGTTTGGGTCAAGGGGAACACGGGGGGGGGCTGATGCTAGACCATCTCTCATCAGTGACTCCAGGGAGCTGCCCAGCTAGTGAACACACAAACTATTTATTTCTATGAAATATTTATTTCCTTTGAAACCTCCAGAAACATGCCAGAAAATCTCAAGACAGGGATAGAAAAAAAAGACAAGAATAAAAAATCCAAATGAAACATCATACAAAAACCCCAAACCAAATCATGCTTCTATCTTACCCATGAGATAGAACACCAGCTTCAAATTAAATAGATTTGTTTTGCAGAGATCCTTAAAAAATAACAGAAAAACCAAAAATCATAGTTTACACTTGTCAATGTTCACGATTAGGTCCGATTAGGTCCCCAAAATGATTAGAATGATCTGAAGATGAGGTGACAAAAGCAAGGGGTGGGGGAGGCACGGGCTCAGGCATGGGACTGAAGAAAGGGCTTGGGGAGGTCTTGGAAAACCCGTCCAAAAAGGGGGTCTGGGAAGGGGAGTGGAGACATCACAGTAGATGGCCAGGGCGGGGGACCCGGCAGGTTCTCTCACGCCACAGCCCAGGGAGGACGAGGAAGTGGCGAATGTGCAGGCTTTGTCACAGGCAGCAGTGCTGCCAGGGGCCAGGGACTGACTGCAGGGGGACATGGTCGGTGCCTTTTTCTCCGGCTTCCTGAATGCCTGTGTCCCAGCACCCCCTTCCCTGAGGTTTCTGGTCCCAAAGAGAAGGTGGTGAGGTCTCTGGACAAGGACCGGGCCGCCTGGTGCTGGCTCCCAGCCTGGAGCTGCAGTTCTGAGCCAGGCCCATGCCGCTCCCCTGGTCTGGTGCTTCCTGAAAAGGAAAGACATGGGCCTGCCCACCCTGACTTTGTCCCTCTGAGTCTTCCTGCTGAGCACCAGCCACAGGGAACTGGCCTCCATCCTCAGCTTGAGGTTGGGGGAATCCACAGATTGTGACCATACAAGCTTGTTCTGGCACAACTAAAATAAAATAATATTTGTTTTTAAAGGAAAAAAAAAGAAACTGTTTTCTGGGTGAACAGTGTAGTGTCACACCAGCTCGCTGCCTGGCAAGCTGCCCCTCACTGCCTTTGGAGACTGAAGGACCAGCGTTTCATGGGGGTTCCCACAGCAAAGGCTCCCGGGGAGCACAGTGAGGGTGGCCTAGTCTCCACTGCTGTGGGGGCTGCAAGGTGGGCCGAAGGACTTGCAAATAGAAAGCAGAGATGGAGGCTGTTTCTCTCCAGCCGTGACCTGGGGGCTCCTGGTGCGGGGAAGAGGCTGTGGCTGCGGGGCCAGGGCTGGTGGGGCTGCGGCAGCTCTGCAGCTGGGCCTGGCAGGGCAGGAGCTCAAATTGAAGGTGGAGGGTCTGAGGCACTATGACTTCTGTAGCTGAGAGGCTGATAGAAAAAGACTATAAACGGTGTGCACTAGTTTCCCCCTCAAAGCACATGACTCTGGATGTTGGAGTTTCCCCTCTCTATCCTGGGATCCCCAAGGAATAATTAAAACGCTAAGAATGTGCTCCTGGGTGTTTTCTGAAATGTGGGGTTGAGAAGGGGTGATGTCCGTGCTTCTCGGTGCCAGTGCAGGAAGGAGAGCCTTTGCCTGTTTCCACACGGGCCCTCATCTCTCCAGGGTGGGAGCAGAATGGGCTGTTTTCACACTGTGATTTCTCATGCAGGGGGCTGGGTGCCACAAGCCAAGCCCAAACTCTTGTAAGTGGTGAAGAAACGTGGTTTATGAATGCCTGGAGCTGGGAGTTTAGAGACTAACTACTGCCCTCCCTGTTTCCTTCCTATAGTGTTGATGTCTAGTTCCTAGAAAGAGACAGGATGGAGCCTGGAAAGACGGGCCCTTGGGGGCAGAGTGGGCAGGGTCCAGCCCTAGAGACCAGAGGTGAGAAGTGCCAAGGGAGGCCTGAGGCCCTGTGGCCTGCTGGGGCTCGAGGACCATGAGCAGACCTTACCTCACAGGCCTCCCTTAGGTTTCTGTGTCTAAGGGGAGTGTGGTGGGGTCCTAGCTGGATGATCTTGGTCACACCTGCAACCAGGAGCTGAGCTAAGGGGGAGAGGAGAGCAGGAGCCCCCACACACTCAGATGGATGGGTGAGGCGGCCTTCCACCTCAGAGTTCCTTCTTGTCCCTGCAGAAGATCTCGGCGAATTTGCGCAGCTGCTCACTGGCGGCCTGTGACTCCTCCTGCAACCGCTGGTTGTTCTGACGCAGACTGGCCACCTCTGACTGCAGCACCGCCTTGTCCTGCTTCTCCTGCAGGGAGGGGTGTGGGCATCAGCGGAGTGGTCTAGCCAAGGGCTCCTGAGGCCTGTGAGCCCTGGCTCAGCTGTGCTTTAGAGCTGGGCTGCCAGGTGCCTCGCCCAGCTCTGCTTGTTCACAGCTGAGTAACCCCGGGCAAGTCATCTCATCTCTCTGGGATCAACAGCCTCAACTCTACAAAGGGGTGGCTGAGAGCTTTCTCTAAGGTCATACATGTGGAGCTTTCACAACACAGCGGGATGTGGGGTGACAGTCAGACAGACATCACAGTGATTATCATCACCTCATTTTACCCTCAGCCACCCCAGAATGTTGGGAAACCCAGCCCCACACAGCAAGGGGGAGCTGGGTGTGGACGCAGGGCTGCCTCCATGGTCTCTCTTGGGGTACCCTTCCAGGATATCCACATCCAGAGGCGGCCATTCGTCCAAGGTCACAGGAGGTGCTGGGGTGGGAGCTGAACCAGAGCCCCTGTGATTTCTGTGCTTGAGACTCACAGTATATGCTATCTTTTACCTCAAAATATATAAAGCAACAAGTAAAAGTCTCCTCCATCCTTATTTCTTCTCACTTTTCTATCCTGGAGGTAAATACAATAAACAATTCAGACTGCTGCTTTCTATGTAGTCCTCTAACCCATGGACGTTAAACATTTATTTCAAGTACGACGTTGTTGTAGAAACCAGTTCTGCAGCTTGCTTAGTTTGTTATTTAAGTTATTGGATTTCTTTTGTATATTAGTAAATACATAGATTTCTGTGACTATTTTAACTGGCTGCAGAATACCTGCTGCCGGGTGACCTGTCATATCCATTAGCACTGACCTGTGTAGGGATGGCTACACTTTCCCATTAGGGGGGAAAATAGTTCATAGGCCAACGCTCAACCACTGAGCCATGCCAGCTGGGCCTGGCTCCCATTTTTTATTCTGTCAAGAGTGCAGTATGAACACCTTCGCTCACAGGTCTCTTTGTGCCCATGTTTGAGATCCTGCTGGCAAATTCCCACAAGTGGAATTGGTGGGTCAACATGGTAATAATTACTTTTCTTGCTCCCAAAAATTTTAGACTAATTTATTCCTTCTTCAAGAACATGTGATTTCTCTGTGTTCACCAGCCTTCGGTAAAGTTACTTTTTACTGTTTACTCATGACTATATTCAAAGCTGGGTGGCCTCCCCTAGAATAGCAGGGGTGGAGGGACAGGTACCTCAGCCTTGCTGGCCCCAGAGTGTCTGGGCAGTGGAGTGTGGGGCTTACCTTCTGGAGGTCCGTGTGCAGCTGTTTCAGCATTACTTCCAGCTGGTACACCTTGCCTGTCAGATCCAGGGCTGGCTCCTCGCTGGAAAGACAGAAGACAGGGTCAGGCCACTCTCACTCCTGAGGTCTTGGGGCATCCTCTCCCTGCTGGTATCCCCAAGGGGAGCAAGTCTGAAGGAAGTCAGATGTGGGTGGAGGTTGAAGGCTATGTGTGTGCCTGCCCTGAAGTGTGCTTTCCCCAGAGGATGGACCATGTATGTGCTTAGGGAGAAATTCTGCCCGAGTGTGACCAGCACGAAACAAAGAATCCATCCCACAGACATCCATGGAGCATATGAGGCCTGTGAGTGGACAGGACTAGCAATGGGACTGAGGAGGACGATAGTCGCTGGCAATGGGTGCCCACCCTGCACTGCACATGGTCTCCATCTAACAGGCTCTGGCCCAACACAGCCTGGGAGGTCACCATGACATTATCCACTGGACAGAAGGCAAACCCAGGCTCAGGCTAGGGACACTGCATGGGCCTCAGCCTACGGCTCCTCCTTAGTACAGATTTCTCTGTTTTGGGCTTGCCTATCCTCTATGGGGCACAGTGGGCAGCCCCTTTCTGTAGAAGGCTCCACTGGGCACGTGGGATACATATTATCTGGAGGGCGCTGGAAGGGGGTGGGCTGCAGCAGAGAAAGGGGTCTCAGCCCAAGAAGAGGAGAGGATTTGGCCACCTCACCCTTCCCTCCCTCCGTGGTCCTGGATCTTCTGCAGGGGGACATGGAATGCAGGTGGAGGTGGTCAGGAGAGCACCAAGATGCCACTCAGTGCCACCAGTTCTACACCCACTCGATTCCTACTCTTTCTGTGGCAGCACACCTATAACTGCCTCGTCCTGTAATTACAGTGGGGCCACATTTGGAAGGAGGTTGAGTCCTGAAGCCACTGTGTGATGCTAACAAGAACAATCAAAATTATCCTGAAAAATGCTTGTACCGCTCACAGGTCCAGTGCATGACTGTGGTATAGAGTCCTGCCAGGGGAGGACGGCTGTGCACATGTGCAGTGCACTCTTTACACTCATGGACTTGCACACATCATTTTCATTCTGTCTCCCTCTTTAGTTTTACCGTCTCCCAAGACAATGCAGTCAAAGACGTGACACAAGATGGCAAATATGACAGCCTGGCCCATGTCTCCTCCCTTCCCCAGGAAGGCTCCTGAGGGCAGGGTTCCTGCCTCCCCATTCCCAGTTCCCAGACAGCCCAGCAGGGACCAGCTGGGGAAGAGGTGAAAGGTGACAGGGAGAAGATTCGCATAATTTAGGAATATGCAGAGGAGGAGACCCAGAAGCCGACAGAGGGGACAACGGGGGTCACAATTTAGCACATTTTTCAAAGTTGGAAGTGCAACAATTGTGAGAACATTGATTTTAGTGTGTGTCCACCCGGCCATGAGGATAGGACCCACTCTGATTTGGCCACTGCTGGGCCCCGTGTGTGGATCACTCCACAGTGTTAGATGAGGGAGCAGATGTTCCCCAGATACTGCAGACTGGGTGGTGGGGTAACCTGCAGTGGCTGTCACTCGCCTGGATGTCCCCAGGGAAACCTCACCTCATGGTAGGGGTGGTCCTGGGGGTTGGGGGTCCCCTCTCCAGGCTCAGGTGGCTGTGGACAGGACTGTGTGCAGGTGGCATGTCCGGGCTCAGAGCTGGGTCATTGAGAGAGAAGAGTGACACGGCTCTTTGCACTGGTGGAGAGAGAGGGGAGAGGGGTCAGCGGGGATCTGGCTCTTCCTTGATGACCTTTCCTCTGCTCCTCACACATGAACCACCACTATATTCCCAACCACACCTTTGTTAGATCACACAGGTAATGTGGGAGAATTTTTGCCAAAAAATCCAATCAGATAAGGACACACAAAATCCCACTGTGATTCTGAGCAAACCCCTAGACCAAAATGACCAGTTTAGACAAAATTCAAGGGAGAGAGAGACAGGTTAAATTATAGTAATAACCCAATTCAGAACCTTGCACATTCTTAGCATAAATGACTTGTTTTAGTCAACAAAAAAATGGCAAAAAGTGGAGAGTACTGAGTGATACAGTACATGAAGGCTAGTTCAGTTCAGTTCTAAGAATGTCTGTGAAATCACAAAAACAATAAGAAATGCAAAACAGAAATGCAAAATCACATATGCTGAAGAGAGAACAGAAGTCACAGGGCCTGCTGGTGTAAGTGAACATTCAAGGGGACTCCAGGCAGAAAATTTGCTCTGCATGGAGCCTGAGTGCTGGCAATTTTAAACAGGACTTTTAGGGGATCTTTCTGTAATGACAAGAATTGGCGAGGGCCCCAATGCACCACAGAATGGGGTGGGAAGGCCAGGAGGTTGGCCTGTGCGGTGCCCAGTGGGGACAGGCAGGGCCAGGA